TTGCTGGTCTAACTGAAGGTGCTGAGAGCAGCAATCTCATAATGCTGCTGGGGGGCCAATATTGTCCAGGGAGATTTACATGGTTGGGAAGAAACTTCTTCTAGAAGAAGTTCAGTGTTAGATCTTTCCTGCTGCTGAGGATGGTGAAAGATGAGAGCCCAACTGCAGTGCCTGAACCAGGAACAGAAGGTGTCTCTAGAGATGCTACAGAACAACCTTCCCTGCAGGTTCCTGTGTATCTCATCCCATGTGTTCACCTCACCTTCCCTGGGCACAGGGGCACATCCCACAGGTAATTGTGAGGATGTGCCCACCTATCCATCTGGTACACTCAACCTCATGTGCAATGGAACACATTCTGAATTTCCAGAGCTACCACATGCTGAATGTCAGCTCTGTCATTTCCAGATGCCACGGGACAGTCATGGAGAAATGGGCACAGCTCCCTGAATTGTTGTTGAGGATGGGGACAGATGAGAGCCCAACTGCAGTGCCTGAACCAGGAACAGAAGGTGTCTCTAGAGATGCTACAGAACAACCTTCCCTGCAGGTTCCTGTGTATCTCATCCCATGTGTTCACCTCACCTTCCCTGGGCACAGGGGCACATCCCACAGGTAATTCTGAGGATGTCCCCACCTATCCATCTGGTACACTCAACCTCATGGCATTTCCAGAGCTGCAGTGGAACACATTCTGAATTTCCAGAGCTACCACATGCTGAATGTCAGCTCTGTCATTTCCAAATGCCACGGGACAGTCATGGAGAAATGTACACAACTCCCTGAATTCACTGGAAAATGACAATGCAGGGAAGCTCATATGGAGTAGATCTCCCAGTGAGACTTTCTCCTGTTCCTCACCTGCCTGAAGCCAGGTGGAAGAACAGAGGTGATGTGACTTCTCTATTAAAATCCAAGCTCATTACAACTTATTTAGGACACACAGAGGTCTATGCAAGAGAAACTGCAAGAAGATGCAAAAGGCAACTGAGGCAGATGCTGTGAGCATGAAGAATTTGTCAGATGTTTTCATGAAACAGCATCATTAGGATTAACCTTCATGAAATCTAGAAGAGGGTCTTCATTCATTCATTTATCAAATTGGGCCTCCAGAAACACAGAGAAACTCTTGTAAAGGCAGAAAAATGAGGAAAGTAAAAAATCCCCTCCCCAAAGCATAAGCATAAAAATCCTTCTATGATTACACATCCATTATTTCTTAGGCCCTATTATTTCATAGTATAAATTAGTTCAAAATGCTCTTCAACAATGGAATATGACCCAACAAGCTCTGTAGGAAAACACTACTGTTCATTCTAATTCCACTGATGTTCCCAGTGATTTACTAGTAAATGACTGAAATCCAGACCTAGTGAATAACCACCAAAAATAATTCTTAATTGAAAAAGACATTCTCCAGCACATTCTACACAGAAATTTCATTTAATAGCAGCTTTTTTCTTTGTATTTGCAGATCTACTCTTGAGAGAAAGACAGATACCAATCTTTTGTTTTTTTTTTTTTTTTCAAAAAGCAGTGTGATAGAACTATTTCCAATACAGCACTTTCAAAATCCAAGGGTTACATCCTGAACTCAATTGAAAAGTTGTGAAATCAAGGAGAAAAAACACCAAGTAATTTTAAATTTATCTTCTGCAGGACTAGAAGTAGCTCAGCTAAAGCTCAAGAAAAAAGTAAATAAGGAGAGGTGGATTTTCATTACTGTTAAACTCCTGTTTTGTTTTGCAGTAATGCGGGAACAAAATTAAAAGAACCACTGGAAAAGATACAGCTCACTATGCAGCCTGGCCACAACACAGTTCTGGTTTTAGATGTTTATGCCTCTGTAATTAGCTGAGAAATCTGAAGAAAATCCTCCATTCACTTACTGTGTGATACTTGCTCTAAAACCATCTATTGTTTAGTCTACAAGTACTAATAGAGCCCATAAGCAGTGGAAAGGCACACAGTGCCTCTTTCATACAGCACCAAAAAGCAGTTTAAGGGTCTGGCATGGCCTTTTTTTAACAGAACAAGTTTTGCTGCATTCAACAAGACAGACAACTGCTCTTCATGCAACCTCTGTGCTCCCTGGGACTCCACCACTCGTGATGATCAAGACTAAAATCTCCTGTTTGAGCATGTCAGCTCCTGCAATTATTAGCACCTGGTGGTAAATAAATTCAATGGTTCTAATGTCTAATTATAGAATCATGGATTGGTTTAGGTGGGAAGTGATCTCTGGAGGAGATCTGGTCTAAACCACCCTTTGGAGGAGGGTGACCTACAGCAGTCACTCAGGGCAATCTGTGTTTGGAGTGTCTCCACAGATGGACACTCCAGAACCACCAAGGGCAATGTGAAAAATGCGTATTTTATGATTGGCTTTTCACAAATATTCAAATGAATATTATATGTGTTGTGTTAGAAAGTGATGCTGTATTAATTCTCTTAAATAGTGTGTTAAATATATTTTAGGTTATAAAAAATGTTAAAATAGAAACTATGTTATGTAGGATACTTTTTTAAAAAAAAGGACTTGCACCAGATAGCAGCCACAGGACAACTGAATCTTTCAGAGAAAGAGAATTTATTGCTCCATTATCAGAAGAAACTGAACTTCTTCCTGCCTTGAGGGCACCATTGGGATTCAGAGGAAGAAGCTGACACTGCCCAGACAGAATCCTGTGTTTGAATGGAATTTATGCATCATGGATGAGGTGTATGAATATGCAACAGGTTATTGCTTTTAAGGGTTAATCTTCTGTTAAAGTAGGTCCTTTTTCAGGCTTGTGTGGCCCAGAAAAGGTACCTGGACTGTCTGTAACTCTTTGTTTCTATTGTCTCATATTGTCCTAATCCAAATTGTCCAAATTATTATTACTCTAATGGTATTACTATTTTATAACCATTTTATTACTATTAAACTTTTAAAATTTCAAAAACAAGTGATTGGCGTTCTTCACAGGCAACATGTTCCTGTCCTTCCTAGACAGTACAAAAACCATGTCCAAAAGCCAATTTATTGTCACCAGTTAAGAGGATCCTGGGACACACTGAGGACTCCACAGCCACTGCTCCTCATCCTCACCCCACCCCAGAGACCATGGCCAGACGATGCTCCAGTGACCATGGGGATGAGTGGCACCTGTGACAAGGGTGCAGGTCTGGGGCCACACACTCATTTAATTTAAGTTTTACCTTCCCTCCAGTGGGGTCTTGTGCTGAGTTTCCTCACATTGAGGTCCTGAAGTCTCTTACAGGATGAGTTGTATGCTCAGGGAGTCAGCAGAGCCCAACTCTAATCACACCAGAGCAGCAGGTACTGACACAGCAGAAGGTGACTTCAACCTTCCCCTTTTCCCTACCCCTGAGAACCCCAGATCCTGCCTCTGAATTCTCTTTTCTTTTCAGCAATTTCTACTAATCCCCACACACTTCTCTAACACACAAGAGGTGACTTGACTCCACATTTGCTACACTCACCTGAGCTTTTCTCTTGACCAGAATCCAGTGTGTGAAATCCTGTGTGTGCAGTGAATTAATTCACTGTCAAACCCTACCCCTTCCTGTCAACTAACAGTTCAGAATGTCACACTCTTCCCACAACTGGCCCCAGGTGCTGAACCCTGAGCATCTGCCTCAGGTGCATTTCAAAATATTTCCTCAATAAAGCACATCACATACACACACATCCAGTACTAAATGAAAAACTAATGACAAATAACATCATGTGACATACAATATAATGCACAAGAAAAGGGGAAAGGCATGAGAAAATTGACAAATAGCTCTTCCAACAAGTACCATGAAGACTTCAACCTCCCATCAGAAAATAAACACTGAGTAAGTAGCATAAAGATAATTCTCCTGTACTTGCTAAGTCCTTCAATTACTCATTTTCAACAACCAAGCAGAGGACTAAGTACTAAATATCAAACTGCAGCCTTGTACTCACAAATATTCTCTTTCAGCAGCAGAGTTGAAATTCAAATGCAATTTTACTAAAACATTTGCACAGATCTTCTTTTCCTTGGCTGGAATAAACATTCAGATGGCAAGACCTATTTTTTTCATAAGATCAGTGTTTTAAGCAGAAGGGAAAAAGCCCTTGCTTAATAAATGATGAAATTAAGCAGCACAAGGGAAATTAACAAATACATTGAGAGAGATAAAAAGAGGCAGAGTGTTGCAGGAACATTCTTCCTAGTGGGATGCTCTCTGTGCATCACTGGGCCACACCAAACACGCACTTCCATCACAGCTCACATTCCAAGAAATGCCCAAAACACTTTTTCTCCAAGATCAAACATTAAGCCCCTCCATAGCAATAAGTATTTCAACCAAAAAAAAAAAAAATAATCCAGGACCTTCCAAATGACCACTTTATGAACTCTGCAGCCATTTTCAACAGGTTTCCACCCTCAACAGCTTACAGTCATGCTTCTCTAATTTGGTTGAAGTCCAATACTTGCAGTCAGTAAGTTCAGAGTAGCCTGACTTCTGACAGCAGAATCTTAGGTAGGGTAGAATATAAAAAAATATTCTGTCTTGGTAAGCTTGATATACAAACAAAACTCATTTCTACCTCAATTGAAAGGTATTATACACAGCACTCAGCAGATAAACAGCTTCTGAGCAAAACAAATAATATCTGAGCTTTGTTTGCATGATTATCATACAGTGATTATTGGTTTACTGCAGTCACTGTTTATAAAACAAATAAGGAATTAGTGAGTTCTGATAATTGTTGATGATGCACCGTTTTTCTGTTTTAATTATTAGCTTGCACCCAAGCAGACAAAGAGAGAAAAGGTCACAGATTCACTTTCTTTAAAGACAGAAGGTGTGTGTGTGTAATTATACAAACATATATAAAAGCAATAAACCAGTGATTTAATTTCTTTACTTTCCCCATGCTATTGCCATTTTTAATGCTGCCTTTGACTCATCCTGTACAAACTCCTGGCTGAATGAGAAGCAATGAAGTCCATCCTTACCTTAATGTTGCAAGCTTGTTCCATGAGTCTCCGGGCGTTCTCCTCAGCTCTGTACCTCTTAGGCAACTGAACCCTGAAGAATTTTAAAGCTCCTTCAAAATCAGCCTGTAGAAGGTCCTCTTTGGAGGTCTGCAATTAAACACAGGGAACTACAATAAACCCTGGGAACATGCAGTCACACTCTTCTACTTGATTTGTCATTTACTGGATGCATTCCAAACCACCAATATTCACATTAGCTCTAAGTCATCCTCCTTGAAATCAGCTCTTTTAACTCTGCTTCATACAACAAACAGAGGCTAAAGCCCATCCAAGGAATCCTAGGCAGGGCAGCACAGAGGACTGCAACATGGGAATGGATTTTATCCTTCTATACCTGCCAGGTAAGAAAAGGATTCTGGCTCAGCCTGTCAAGATGTCAGTGAAGAGAAAAAAAACCCAATCAAGCAAACAACAAAAACCTAGGAGAAATTACTATATTTCCTGGAAAGCTTGTGCATTAGACCATTTCTGATTCTCATGGTACTGCCTTAAAAAGACAAAGTGTATATATTTAATGCATGTATAGTCACAGACATGAAGAGCAGAAGCACATGATTCATACAAGGCATCAGCAAGTCAATGTGCTGAAGTCTGTGACACAATTTCTCAAAGAACACTGTGCCAGAAAACATTCTACATGTTTATTTCTACATCTGCCAGGCTACTGGACCTCTCAGTGGTATGAAGTCTAAAAGGTCAGAAGATGTTACACATTCACCATGAATCCACTCCTGTCCCTGACAGAGCCATGTGATTCACAGGGACAAATGTATCCACCCTCCAGGTTACTGAGACCTGCACCCAGAGTTCAGAAGGTACCAAATCCCAAGCCTTGGGATAGTTCCTTTAAATGGTTCACAGAACCCGAAAGTCCTGACAAGACATTCAGAACATCATCTCAAAAATGTGAATTTCAAGGGTTTTAGCCCAGAAAAGAGTAAACAAAACTCTGTCAACAGAGGTACTCATATGGTGGAGATCTACACTGTGTAATGTGTGTAACTGCAAATACCTCAGCAGCAGCACAGGCACTTTTGGTTAAGTGCTGAATTAATTGGTCATGTACCACCACCACCACCACCATTTCCATGTGTACCAACATTTCCACGTGGGCATCCTCTGCTTTCTCATCAGTAACAAACACCCAGTGTCATTTTTTCCCTCATTACACACACTGGGTACATTACACAGACATCAGTTCAAAGTCTGATTCTTAATTATGTTGTTATCCACTTGAATCCAGAGAATCCCACAATGGCTTGGGATGGAAGGGACCTCAAAGGCCACCTCATTCCAACCCCCTGCCATGACAGGAGCACCTTCCACTATCCCAAGCTGCTCCAAGCCCCATCCAACCTGGCCCTGGACATTTCCACAGGTGGGGCAGCCACAGCTTCTCAGTCTCTGCCTGGGCCTCCCCACCCTCACAGGGAAGAATTTCTTCCCAATATCTAATCTAACCTGGTTCTCTGGCAGTTTGAAGCCATTCCCCCTTGTCCTTCACTCCAGGCCCTTTTCCAAAGTCCATGTCCAGCTCTGTTCTTTTCTTTCCTTATTGAGTTCACCCAAGATCTGTTTGATCCTCCTGTTGTTCACTGCTGAAGAAGAGACTGGGTCATCATTGCAGGGACCCAGGAAGAGCTACCTTGGGGGTGCTGATGAGAAACAAACCACCAGAACCCCCAAGTGCTTCAGCTTTACAAACCATCCAATCTGATCCTGTCCACAACCATGAAACTTTCAGCTTTACCAAATATCCCATCTGATCCTGTCCACGTTCAGCTTTACAAACCATCCCATCTGATCCCATCCACAGCCATGAAACATTCAGCTTTACAAACCATCCCATCTGATCCCATCCACAGCCATGAAACATTCAGCTTTACAAACCATCCCATCTGATCCTGGCCATAATCATGGAACATTCAGCTTTACAAACCATCCCATCTGATCCTGGCCATAATCATGGAACATTCAGCTTTACAAACCACCCCATCTCATCCCATCCACAATCATGAAATGTTCAACTTTACAAACCATCCCATCTGATCCTGTCCACAACCATGAAATGTTCAGCTTTACAAACCATCCCATCTGATCCTGGCCACAATCATGAAATGTTCAGCTTTACAAACCATCCCATCTGATCCTGTCCACAACCATGAAATGTTCAGCTTTACAAACCATCCCATCTGATCCTGTCCACATTCAGCTTTACAAACCATCCCATCTGATCCTGGCCACAATCATTGGCAGCTGCACAACTTGGCTGAGGCCCAATCTGATGAGGCTGAAGTGTTGACAGAAAGCCCAAGCAGTTGGTATGGGATGAATTAGATCCACCATGGCCAACATCACCCTTCCCCTGGATGAGTCTTGCTGAGGCTGTAAGTGCTCCTGCCACACTTAAAGCCAGATCACTGTTCCATACCCCCACTGGGCTGGTTGTTGGAAGCTGCTGATGTGGTGAGAGCAGCTGGCTGTGCCCAGAACCACTGCCAAACCTGTGCTGGAGCCCAAGGGCTTCCAGGGAAGTTCAGTGGATAACAGTGGTGGAAAAGTAGTAAAGGTTTCATGGGATCATAAAATTGTTAAGGTTGGAAAAGCCTTCTAAGATCACTGAGCCCAAGCATTTCCCCAGAACTGCCAAGACCACTGCTGAACCATGTTCCTAATGGCCACATCTGCACATCTTTGGAATTCTTTCATCACTCCCCAGGCAGCCTGTTACAATACCTGAGCACCCCTCCAGTGAAGAAATTTTTACTAATGTCCAATCTAATGGATATTAGGAAAAATTTCTATTTTGATACCCAGCTCATCTCTCTTCCTTTGTTCTCAGCCATGTTGGTATCTGCCATCGCTACCCAATTCAAACAGATTTCCCAATTACATTGCCAGATTGCCTTCCTGGGATGCTCCTGCACATCCAATCCCCTCCTCTTCCCTTCCTTTACAGAAATTCTGCGCAAAACATTTCAAATCAGATTTAATTTTCCCAGGCCTCTGCTTGAATCATTGTCAGACTACTGTTTTTAACAGTCCCCCCCAAAATTACATTTATTCAACTGTAACTATTGACAACTTTGAGTTCTCCATGCTGAAAAATCCATAGTCAAAGAAAATCCCATAAGATCATGGAAATAAGAACTTCTCTAAGAGAGTTTGCTCAACTAAGATTATAGCTATGAAAACTGCAAACCATCAAATTGTACAGGTTGGTTAAATGAGTGATAGAGCCCAGGCATGTCAGTTCCTTCTACTTCATTGAAAATATTTTCATTTCCTTAAAATTATCTGTTCATCAAAATTCTAGTTTCACTATTAAAATAACAAGAAAAAAAGTGAAAAATAGAAATTTTGGCACCTCAGGATTCACATTTCTTGATATTTTGTGACTTCAATCAATAAATTATAAAGATTTCTCTGGAAACTTCTGGCAGCTGTTTGAGAGGCAGAGATTTGTAAATCCTTGGTTGAAATCATTCAACTCCTGAAACTCATCAACAGCTGATTTCTAAACAGCTGATTTCTCTTACTAAATAATCTGTAAGTTTAATGAGTTAATCATTAAAGTTTGGCAGGTGCATTGCATTTTTGGGCATTTGGGAACTTCAGGAAAGTTTTTTATTATTATAGATGTTCTCTTTAAATCAACATATTTTTGATTAAAATCTATTTTCAAACCCAAACAAATAAAGAGACTCAGTCAGAATTATGACCCAAAGGCTCAGCTTGCATTCTAGGGTTTGACTAAATAATGGATTCTCAAATGTTCTTCCCACATCACTTAAGTATTTCAATATTATCTTAAATGAATGAGTTGAAAATTAGGAAAAGCCCTTTCCCAAAAGTATTAGCAAAGCTTTCAAATCTAAAGGTAAAGTTTGGAAAAATAGCAAATGTTCAAAAAGCAAGAACAGAATTTGAGAGACTTAAACGATGTTAATTCTTTTTTTTTTAATAAATAATGTTACTACTACTTTTACCAAAATATTTAGGAAACTGTGATTAAGACAAAGGGAAAAGCATTGGATTTTTTCTTTAATTTAATTTCTCTGTCTTCAATTATTAATCCTACAGCTTCATTTATTACTGACTCTATCAAAACTCTTATTCCCACCTGGGAACTAACATAACAGAAGAAATTTTGGATGAACCACATTGCACATCCTTAATTTAGTTCTTCCTCCTTCATAAAAAGAGATAAAAAATACTTATTTCCATGGAATTTTTGGTATCTATTTAGATTCCCGTAGAATGTCAGTGAGCATAAACCACCTGTTTTACACGTTATTGAACGTGTGTCAGAAGTGAGGCCAAGAAGTTGAAGACTCAAAAGAACCTGGCCATGCTTTACTATTAAATTTGCTTCTGGCATACTCAAAATATTTGTAAGTATCCTCCAATTTTTCAGTATTTATATACATAAATATGAATTTTATTAATATATTATTAAATGTATATACCTATATACATATACACTAATATGATATTTATATTTTATGTATATAAATATATACTCATATATATTTATGTACATAAAATGTACAGATGTATATACATACATTTATATACATAAATATATGTATATACATTTATATACATATATTTACATGTATTTATATACATACAGTATTTGTTTACATAAATATATAGTATAGATTATATATAAGATGATAATATGATATATATAAGTATTATATATATAATATATAGATATAATATTTAAAATATGAAAGTATCTTCTGTTATTTAATGCCTATATCACACAGATTTTAACTTCTTAAAAAAATTTCTGGTTTTAACTTCTTTGAGAAGATACACAGTGTAAAACCAAGGTACACCAGCTATTTCTTGCTGACCCAGAGTGCAGTGCTACATGCTGCAGGACTTTGCTCTGTGCTGCCCCTTGACAGGAGCCACAGAGCTGAGAGCTGCCCAGTGAAATTTCCATTTCACAGAGGAAATGTAAATCCCCTGACCTTCTGAGCTTAATAAACTTGGGCTCCAGGCCTGGGCAAGTTTGGTGGACAAAACTGTGCTGCAGTAACATCAGAACACACTTCTAGGGCAATACACCAAAC